AGAACTTTTCTTGCGAGTATTGGTTACAAACTCCAATTTTCTCTTAGCTTGAAGAGTAATTTGCATCGATTGTTGCCACATCCATAGTTTTCTTAACCTGTGAGTTGTGTCGGAATTAAAATCAAATCACGAGTATCAGAAGGATGTGAGCTATTGCATAGGAGCAAGGGGTTTTACCCTGTGTGTACCCAAAAGGTAGCGGCTGCGGGTTTCCCTTGTCAAAAAAAAAAAGGAGTATCAGAAGGATGCAGAAACATTGGGTGTGTGTGGTCAATTTTCTCATTCGCCATTGATAAATAAAACCAAACTTTTCACAACTACACAGCTAGCGCATGACCAGTTTCTTCTGCTCTGCTACCGTGTGACTTGAGTTCGAGCTCAAGTTCTGACTATGGAACCTTAGGTCAAACCCAAATGTGTGAGAGAAGACGAGCGAGAGAGAAGAAGATATTTTGGAAAAGTAAATTGTGATTATATCATCAATGAAGTGATTACAGTCTCTATATATACACAGCTCCTAAGCATGGCTTAATTAACTAATTCCTCTAAGTAATTGTAACTAGCTCTAGCAATCAATGACATCTGGCTAACCAGAGTTCTAACCTCTTAACTACACCTAACTATGGTTTATGTACAGTTAACTATTTTAACAGGGTTGAGGCCAAGTAGTTGTTGTTGGTTTCACATGGGGTTTCCACGATATAGGCACTTAGTGAAGAGAGATTGATCAAAATGCCTAGAGAGGTAGCAAAGTGCCTGTTTGTCCTTTTTTTTTTTATAAAGGAAACATTTGCATAACTTAAAGCTGGTATCCAAAAATTTACATCATATCCTCCCTCCACACTTGTTTGTCTGGCATAAACAAAAGATAAAGAAAAGAAAAGATAAAGAAAAGAAAAGAAGAAAAAAGAAAACTATCCCTAGATCCTCCTTCATCTTTATAAGGACCCTAGAATGTCTACAATAGCCACAGGGTCATCTATACTCTCTGAACTACACCAATAGCAAAAAGCGATGATATAGTTCATTTTAATCTTGTGCAGAAGGCTGCTCTTGTTATCAAAACTCCTAGAATTCCTTTCTTTCCATATGGTCCACCAAATAATTGCTGGGACAATTTTCCATCTACTCTTGTCTGTGCTGCCACTGCCCTCCATATTCCAGCTTTCTAGAGCCTGTCCTTTTGAGTATATTTTTTTTTTTTTTTGAAATGGGTAACTTGTTGAGTGTCTTTTTCTCTTAGAAGGAAAGTTTGACCTTTTGAGTGTCTTAAAATGCAGTTTGAGTTATCTTGGCTAGAATATTTGTTCGCTGATTTAATAGTGTTTCCGAATGCATACCTAAAGAGATGATATTGCTGAAAGCCTTATTGTCCTGCTATGTGTGGTTTTCAATTTTTAAATGACAACTCCTTTCACAATCTCTTCAATTGAGGTAGGGATTTGGTTTTAAGGCTGTGATTGGTCCAAAGGGCGGGTCAGTTATACAAAAAAGGCAGGGATTTGATTTATATCCTTGAACTTGGATGACTGGAGCTACTTGTTTGTAGGGATCTAGAGATGCCTTGACTGATACGTAATGTGCTCTTTCAAACAGTAGCAATGTTTTGCTTTGCCTACTGCTAAAGCCAGAGAAGATGCGCTTTCATTCTTACTCTCTAAATGAAATCGACGCTATTTGCTCCTAAGTTGAACAAATAGTGTAATACGATTCCTTAGAGATTGATCCAATATTTGTACCTGTCCACCAACATGTTTTGACCACTGCTAACATGAATTGAATAAAATACAGAAGCTAGAACTTCAAAACAACGTCCGATTCCAAAGCTGTTGAAATTTCTTCTGAATTACAGGCCCAAAGTCAGGCCTATACTTCTTTGTTCTCTACAAAACATCATAACTAAAGAAAATCACAGCTTCCTGTTACAAAGTTATCAAATGGTGTTTGTTCTCTATTTGAAGAAGGTGGGATATTATTATGTATTCTACTTTCTTCTTTCCCTTGTTATTGATTTTTTATAGTGGACACTTTCCTTAAAACTATAGCATATTTATTATTAATTCTTGGTACATGTAGCTGCAACCAGATAGTCAGACTTCGATTTGTGGCAAACATAAATATTCGGATGAATTTTTGGATTCCCACATGTTGTACACATTTAATCCTCTTTCCCTGGATAATGAAGAGAAAAAGAAAAGAATTGCCCAAAGAAGATGGTAGTTCTTCCTTTTTTGAGTAAAGGTAACTGTGTATTCACAAAGTACTCATCATCAAGGATAATGAGGGAAGTCACTTACACCCAGAGAGCACCATTCCAGCTAAAAACAAAACTAGACTAAGTGGTTGTACAATTTCCCTATGAAATCAACAAAAAGTTCTATGTCCCCCACTCTATCCTGTTTACACCAAAAATAAAGAAGACAAAGACTAATCATCTTGATATTCGTCTTCAAAACCTCTTGCATTTCTTTCCTTCAATAAGGTCCACCAGATTCATGCAAGTATCATTTCCCACCAGTCCTCCTTTGATTCTCTTCTTCCAATCCCTTTCCAACTGTTAAGCATTCCTCTGGTAGTTTTTGGAATTACCCGGTGCACTCTAAGCAAAAAGAAGAAGTGTTCCACAGATTTGCAGTTGTTTTGCAGTGAAGAAACAAATGACTATTTACTTCTGCATCCAATGTACACATAAAACACCTTGAGCAAATTTGTCTATCTCTTTTATGTAGCACTTCATGAGTTAGGAAAGCTTTCCTACATACTAACCATACAAAACAAGAGATATTTTTGGGGAATTTTGGTTTTCCACATAAGCTTCCAAGGCCATGTTGTGGACTGTGTAAGTGTGTATGGGTAGCATTTCTGTTCCAGTAGTATGACTTCACAGTGAACTTGCCCTTGTTGTGAAGCTTCCATATTGTTCTGTCAGCTACAACAGATAGTCCAGTGAAGTTGTTTAGTGTCAACAGAAGACTTGAAACTCTATCAATTTCCCAGTCATATAATGCTCTTCTGAATATTGAATTCCTGCCTTGTGGGCTCCATACCTGGGCTACTGTGGCTCTATTCTGTTGACTAAGGATGAACAAATCAGGATATAGAGTTTGTAAACATTCCTCTCCTATCCAGAGCTCCCCCCAAAAATCTATCTTCAAACCATTACCCACCTTTAGTGCTGTGTTGCTATGAAACTGAGGCCAAAGTCTTCTGATGGTTTTCCAAACACTACAACCATAATTTCCCAGAACTTATTCAATATTCCAGTGGTTTTGGAGGCCATATTTCTTTGTGATGACACTTTTCCATAAAGGTGAATCCTCACAACAGAACCTCCATAGCCACTTTTGAAATAGGCATGAATTTCTTCCAAGCTGATTGAAATAGGCATGAATTTCCTTTTTGCCATTCCATAGAAAAGTTCTTCTAAGCTGATTGATTTTCTTCACAACAATTTTGGGGATGGGAAATAAACTCATCATGTAGGAGTGAATGGAATCCAACACTGACTTACAAGTGTTAGTCTGCCTCCTAAAGACAAATATTGGCTTTTCCATCTTGCCAATCTTTTGTCACACCTCTCCAGAACTTCACTCCATGCCTCTTGTTCTTTGTTCTTAGCCTCCCGAGGAAGACCAAGCTCTTTTTCCAATTAACATGTAGACCAGATATGCCTTCAAAATGGTGAGAATTGCCCTGATGTGTCGGATTTGAGAAATGTCAACTTCACAAAAGAGGAGGCAGTCATCTACATATAGCAAGTGGGTAGTCCCATTACATTCTCTCTAATGCCTTGAGTCTGAGCCTGGAAACCCCTCAGCCAACCATTTGTCTTTGACCTCCTGGTCATGTGGTTCAGCCCCTCCATGGTTAAGATGAGCAAAAAGGGTGAGAAGGGGTCCCTTTGCCTCAATCCTCTTTGGGACTGGAAAAATCCTTCAGTGTTGCCATTAATGATTAGAGAAAACTTCACACTAGATATACAAAACCTTATCCAGTTGATCCATTTCCTCCCAAATCTCATATCTTGCAGTACTTTCAATAAAAAATTCCAATTGCCATGATCGTAGGCTTTCTCACTGTCAAGCTTGCAAAGAATCCCTGGAACCTTTTGTTTCACCCTAGATCCACCTATTCATTTGCTAAGAGTGAGGCATCCATAATTTGTCTACCCTTCAGGAATGCCATCTGATGTTCATCTATCAGCTCCCCCACAACAGACTTCAACCTTTCAGTGATGAGTTTGGAGATTATCTTGTAGACACCTCCAATCAAACTAATTGGTCTAAAATCTTTTAGCTCTTCTGCACCATCCTTCTTTGGTATTAATACTATGAATGTAGCATTAAAGGATTTTTTCAAACATCTCCTTGTGATGGAAATTTTGAATAGTGCCCATCAGGTCATCCTCTATAATTCCCCAACAGACTTTAAAGAAACTCATTGTGAAACCATTAGGGCCAGGAGCTTTATGTGTCTATCTGTTTGTAATACGTGTGATGGCAGTTTTTCCTTGGAATATATGTCTATCTGTTTCGTGTTCTTTTGCAAATTTAATGTGAGCATTCGTTCTTTGCAATACATTCTCCATTTGTTCCATATCCTGATATCCTATTTAATCACCTGCTGCAGAAGCACACGTGTTTTTCCTAGTACTGTGTAACTTTTATTCCATGATTGGGGTGTGCTATTTTCAGTTAGTGACATGAAGGTGCAGTATTAATTGGCAATGGGCCTTATCCATTGGGTATTATGTTAGAAAACTGGCTGCTGTTGATTGGTTTATAACATAGAACTTTTCAGATTTCTGGTTAAACTTTGCCTCGTGATATAATGGGATTTGTTTCCGGATTGATTTTCTATCATAAAGTTAGCTTCTTTTTCCATCTGACAGATTATATGTTTACCTTCTTTTTTCTGGTGGGTTAGAATAGGTTGCTTGTAAATTATCTGCATTGATTTAAATTGGTAATTTTGGGTTCTTATGTATGACAAGCGTTCCCTTTCTTTCTTCATTCTTTAGCAGGATCTATTGTGCTTTGCTATGGCAAATTCCAAGGGACCGTCTAGCATGAGAAATATGATGTACAATGGAAAGAGCTCTTTACTGCCTCCTAAAAGTCCATTTCCTAGCATATCTCCTTCGTATGTAGATTATGTCCCTAGTTCTGCTTTCACCCAAAAGGACAATTCAAAACCCAGAGATGGTTCACACCATCAGCGTACGTCTTCTGAAAGCTGTCTTATAGAGGAGCAACCATCTTGGTTAGATGATCTTCTTAACGAGCCGGAAACTCCTGTACGCAGAGGTGGCCATCGACGTTCATCTAGTGACTCCTTTACATATTTTGATGCTGCTAACATTGCAAACTTAGATTACATAGCTCAAGATGATAACAAATTCAGAAATTTAACTCATGTCCCTTCCTGGGGATCCCAAGACTTTGATTATTACCAAAATGCTCGGCATGCCACATTTCATGTTGATCAAAATTCCTCAAACCGACAAAAAAGTAGGGCAAGGGATGCATCTCCAAATGCAATACCACATCCCCGTGGCCTTTCCCCTTTTAGAGAAAATGTCAAGACTCACAGCTTGGGACCATCATGTCCTCCACAAGAAGGAGAGAGGCCCAAATCTGCAGGAAGTGACCAGCAGGATTTAGTTGAATCTGTCCCTCCTGATCCAAAGGGATCTGGTGAAAGAAAGGATTCTTCTCACAGCAAGAGTTCTGCATCTGAAACTGACACGAAACGTGCAAAGCAGTAAGTGTAACTAGCTCAGCAACCCTAAAGGAAATAGTTGTGTATGTATATTTTCAGTATGTTGAAATTTGCAAGAAATCAGAGTTCCTATAGCAGCAGTAATTAAGAGAATTCTTAGTTTCTGTTTATAGTATGGTTCTTTGTTTCTGTTTTTATGGGTTGTCTATCACTCTGCTTTGTTTTCATTGCATGCCATACTATCAGTTTACTGGATGTTTCGGTTAGTTGGAGGCTTATAACCAGGATAGCTGAGATCTATAAATAGGATTCTAACTTTCATTAAGAACTAATTTAGCATTTTTTTTTATTTTTTTTGGAAATTGATTTAGCATGTTGTTTTCTTCTGAATCTCTTAATAAGCGCAGTGATAATAAGTCTTGTGATTCTGAGTCTGTACCTTCTAAAACTTTGAAGATATTATACACTGAACAGGATTTGGCCTACAGCCAAAGTAGTAGGGTAGTCTATGCTCTTTGAATTTTTATTCAAGGGATGCCTATGGTATTCCAGTCTTATCAATCCATAGATGTTGACAAAAATAGGTGGATTTAACATTTAACAACAAATCTGTTTATTTTTATGCTACAATTTATATATATATATATATATATATATATATATATATATATATATATATTTCAGGAACATTTCTTCATCCCTCCACCTAAACTTACTTGACTGTGTTCTTTTTCTTTCCTCCTGAAGTTCCTGGATCCTTTTCCTAAAAGTAATATTTCCTATCTTCATCAATTCAATTTAATGCAAAGATATTGTTGAGAATATAATTAAATAATAAAAGTGTGCACTCTCTAACAACTTAAGATTTTAGATGAGATGGTCACACACTTCAGTTAGGCCTAATTTAAATTAGGTGTGAGTTATGCCTAAGACATAATTTAACATATATTAATTCATTATTTTTGACAAAAGATAAGTATATTAAATGTGCAGCACTAAGGAAAAGGAAGTGCTGGAATATGTTCAAGTGAGCAAAAAAACAAAAGAAAATCCTTTTCTAATCTTGTAGGGATTCTAAGAGATATAGTATTGACTCCGCCTCATTGACAAGTTCCTCTTTACACCAAAAAGAAATCAAAAGTGTACAATTAAACTTGACCTGTTGGATTGGATTTTATTTGCCTTCACAGCATCTAGTACTGCTTTCCTTACATGTGGTCCGCAGATATACTAGCTGGAATATAATCCACCAAAATGACTTCTTTTTCCTGTTGCCCCTGTTACCGCACTGAAGTAATCGAACAGAAGTTCTCGGCATCAGCCATTTAAGGTTTTTGATGTTCAGATAGATTTGTCGTAGTTTGCAGTTACTTTACAATGTAAAAGAAGATGATGCATCTAGTACAGAAAATGTTACCCCTTCTTTGGAGATTGTCTTGTGTCTAACATGCCTCCTTTGCCACCAACCAAGAGAAACAATCCACTTTGAGTGGGGCTTTTGTTTTGCAAAGCTGTGCAATGCAAAGACAGTAATTTATACTCCCTCTGTTTCAAATTGTTTATCCTATTTTGACTTGATACAGAGTTTAAGAAAGTAAAGGAGGCTTTTGAATTTAAAGATATGTCAGATGTACAACAAATGCCCTGTAATCTTGTAGTCTTAAACATGCCACGTGGATAGTTGGAATTAAAGAGTTGCTTGAAAAGGAAAGAGACATTCTTTTTGAAGTGGACTAAAAAGGAAAGTAGGACAAAAATTGAAATGAGGGAGAATCATTTTTGCCGTTATGTGCATTAAACTTAAGAAATTACCCCGCTATTGATGCACGTTAATTATTATTTAGTATACCTCTCTTGGTAGCTTTAATGTATCAAATTACACAAGACATTTTCTTAATCTTCACACCAATCAAATGACCATTCATCATCTAATTAGATTGGTTTGGGGAGGGGGAGCATTTTGATATTTAGGTGTGGAAGAATATGATTGATCTACAATTTATATGGGATTTGCCAACTGATTCACTTATCTGCTATTTGTGTTATTTAGTTGCACATTGTTCAGATGTTATTTAACATATTATGAAGTTTTCTAAAGAGAAGGTGCCATGTAATGCAGACAGTTTGCCCAACGGTCACGAGTTCGGAAGCTTCAATACATATCTGAACTGGAAAGAAATGTTCAAGTTCTGCAGGCATGTGAAGCTTTAAGTAATATACTCTGATAAATCGATGGATGATAGATGTTGTATTTTGTTAGAAATGCTGATCTGATAATTTATTCCAGGCTGAAGGTTGTGAAGTGTCTGCGGAGCTTGAATTCCTTAACCAGCAGAATCTTATTCTCAGCATGGAGAATAAAGCCCTAAAGCAGCGGTTAGAAAATTTAGCTCAAGAACAGCTGATAAAGTATTGTAAGTTTCTTCGCTACCTGTTATACTTTATTGTTGTATCTGTTATTTCCTGTGCTTGGACTGGTGTTATAAAGTAGAATGACGTATATAATGAGTCGTAGCGTAAATAATCGAAAATCAGGGTTGACTTGGATTCATATGAGCTGGGAAAGTGGGTTTTGTTTTCCAAAAACTGGATGCACATTGTAGGAATGGGGATACCTCGTGGTAATTCCAGAAACCACCATTTTCTTGTGGAAAACTGATGTCCTGGAAATCTACAACTCCAATGAATTTATGATTTTGTTTTAGCTTATTTAGAGCTGTATATGCAGTAGCATGCTTTATTCTTACTGTCTATCACTTCTTCTTTTTTCTGAAAACACAAACATCTGCTTATTATGAAGGTTGTTTTAACTGTGGAAAATAATGTTGGAAATAATAATTAATAAAAAAATAGAAGAGTTATTGGAGTTCATTCAACCCAAACTATTGTGCTTCTGGGAGAGGACCAAAGTTGTTATCTGCTTTTCCAATTGATAACGGAACTAGGTCAAAGTTGAGAAAAAAAATAAAAAGATAAAATCCACTGCAAAATTATCATTGGTTTTTAGATGCTGTTCTGAGGTTAGAGGGGGGGTCCCTTTTATGTGCTTTAGGCCTCCAACATTAGAACATTTACCTTTGGAAAGGAAGTAAGCAACAAAAAGAAAAGTGGCTAATAACTAATAAATAATGGGGTTATATATAATTTAATAGATTACTGTTGGATCTCTGCTTAAAGGACATCGCAAAATCTACCTTTACTAAAGGCATTTGAGTAATTAAACTTGAACTTTTTGAGAGACTAATTTTTTCCTTGATCATGGCTGAAGAACTTTCGTAGTTTAAGTATGTACTTCAAATAGGAAAAAACTTATGTTTTTGGGATAGTGGTGAGTAAAAAGCTACCAATGTTTTTTTATTTTGGTGAAAGCTACTACTGATAATGTCGTAGGAAGTTCATTTTATTATCTTCTTAGGAAACTGAAGTGTGTGAATATTGTGCATAGTGGAGCATGAAGTCCTAGAAAAAGAAAGAGGAAGACTACGAGCATTATATCAGCAACAGAAATTGCCACAGTCACAGCAATCATCTTCGAGCCATCGGCGCACCAGTAGTAGGGATCTTGATCAACAATTTGCAGACCTGTGTTTGAAACAGAAAGAGGGCATGTGACTGTAGGTAGGAGCTGATTTTATTGTGCATGACATGATCAGAAAAAACTCTTGTCAACTGCTTAGCCTCTTACAGTAAGTAGCTTGTGCCGGCTTTGTTAGTGATGTTTTTATGTGCGCCTGGTGGTCAATGCTTGGGAATAACATTTGGTGGCAGTTGACTCACCTGAGGTGATAAATCCGTCTGTTGTAAAATTTCCCAGCCATTTGTTCCACATCTTTACCTTGTTGGGGTAGATTTTCATGAACATTGAATTGTAAGCATCATATGGAGCTTATTATTTCCTTTCTTCTTTTATGCTATGAAAGCATTCTGTTTTCCCACTTGTTAATGGTACACGCCAAAATCAAAATAAACAAGAAATTCAAGTTTGAAGTAATTATTAGAGCCATGCATACATTTATTACCTGGGAAAAGGGACTGAGAGAGTAATATCTTTGAACTCATTAGATCTTCTGGATGGGGAATTCTCTGATAGGTTATATCAACAATTACATAAGTAGACACTTAATTACATATATATGGCCCCGTATTAAGTCAATATCAATTATGGCATATTTTTTTTTTTTTTTTATGACAAGGAAAACCCGCAGCCGCTACCCTTTGGGTGCGCACAGGGTAAAACCGCCGCTCCTATGCAATAGCTCGCAAATCACATAGGAGAGGTAACCCGCACTAGGCAAGCCTGGTGCGACGAGCTCGACCTAGAAGGCAAACCCCTTGCTTTCGCTGGCAAGGGGTTTCGAGCTTGAGACCTCCAACATGGAAGTCCCAAGCTCAAACCACTGGGCCACCCCGAAGGGTAAATTATGGCATATTTAATAATTACTTTCATAGACATTTTGCATTTTCTGAATGAATAGACTGTATATAATATGCTAGCGATTAAGGTACTACAAACTAGGGGTGTACATGTCCGGGTTGGTTCGGGTTTTTCAAATATCAAACCAAACCATTTGTGTCGGATTTTTAAATTTATAAATCAAGCCAATCCAATAAAACTCGGGTTTTTCAATCCCGGGTTTTTTCGAATTTTTTGGGATTTTTGGGTTTGTTCGGATTTTTCCGGTAAAGTATTCGTACAAGCATATAATTTACTTGTACTTCATATATTTTTTTAGTCCTACCAAAATACAACTAACTAAGGTGTTTCTTAATAAAATAACACAAAATATGATATGAGTAATGATACTAAAATATCCAACAAAAATAATAATAATAATAATAATAATGTAATCGCGTAAAACAAATATTGCAAAATGCAAATTAACAAGTCATAATGAAAATGATCATAATTTAAAAGTATTAAATCATGCTAAATATAAGTTTAATAAGTATTAGTTACATGACTAGATATTAAAGGAAATTAAAATTAGATTATGTATTTGAATTGTCTTATCCAATGTAAAACCAAAGAACGATATTCAATATTATTGTCATTCTTAGTGTTGAATTGATTTTCTTTTTGCATTAGTATTAATTTGATTTTGATTTAAGCTTTATTATAATTACCAACATCTGTGGACTATAATCTTTATTGAACCATTCAAAATTCTAAGTTTCAAACTTGAAATAATATATTAAAAGATAGAAACTATGAAAAAGTATAAGAAATATTTTAAAATTATATCAAAGTAAATATTTTTATGTATAAAATAAAATTTTAAAATTATATATATAATGTCAGGTTGATTTGGTTTCGGGTTGGTTGTTTTTAGTTAAAACCAAACCAACCCAAATATAGTCGGGTTTTTTTCTTCAATACCAAACCAAGTCAAACCAACCACTACTCGGGTTTTTTTTCTTGGTTTAACTCGATTTGCGGTTTGGTTTGATTTGGTTTTCGATTCGGTTTTGTACACCCCTACAGTACAAACTCTTCTTTCATAAGAATTTCGAAACATCAAGAATATCAATATTAACCATTCTACAAATTCAATAGAGCGGTTGTTAAATGGGAGATTATGTTGTTTTTCCTTAAACTGAAGATTCCCCATATAAACCACATCTAAATTTCTAACATAAAAGAAGAAATTGCAATTTTGGTTCAATATATATTTTATACAATCAAGTAAATTATACCCAACATATACTTTATAAATTCAAATAGTTATACTGAAACATATTGTTATGTTGCAATTAGAGGATTATATAATATATAGACTTGGTATTGAGAACTGCTCCATTTTCTTTTTGTCAAAAGTGTGGTGTTATATGCTCCATGTTAAGAATTTGCTTCTATATTCTGATGTCAGCCGTCTTTTCTGCTTCACCAATCACCGGTGGAAACTTTGGATCCAAACACAGCTTGTAAGTAACAACTTTTGGTGTATATATATCATGTCTAAATGGAACCATGTCATACCATTTGAATTAGCTTTAAGAAATTCAATAAGTTTGATTCTGAATTCCGGAGTTGATCTAGTAATCCAACCAATGACAATTAGTATCACTTGCTCGACCTCGAAATTCAGTCTCCAAAAACTCTAACTCTAAGCTTGGTTGATGGTTCAAGTCCAAAGAATCTTCGTCTTTGTAACGATTTTTTGTAGGTGACTAATATTCTTGTAAATAGGAAGATTTCATGGTAAAACCTCCAAAGAACAATCTCAAGTACTTAGCAGATATGAAGTATTTTATACAACTATTAAATTTCAGTATTCTGGATGTTATTGATCCGTGGTATATTATTCTATAATATGTTGTAATTACTATATGCTGTCATTCAATTTTGTAGGTATTATCTTCTATGCGTAGATGATCAATGATCATGGAATTTTAAGCCTTCCCGCCTTAATAATTCAAATATATTAAAGGTGAGAATTTTATTATGTTCACACATGTGGAAATGAATCAACATTTTATACACAACGACATGCTAATTCAAAGTTTGTTGGAGGCTTGATGACGAGTAATATTGACGATTCTAAAACAATTTATACTCCAGGCGATACACAATGTGACATTAGAAACAAATATGGTGTTGAGTTGAACGACATGAAGGAATGGAGGGCAAAAGAAAAAACACTAAAGATATTGTAATGACCCGGTCGGTCATTTTTTGTTTTTTTGTGGAAATTACCGTTTTGCCCCATCCGATGTCGACCCCGAGTTGTTTTTTATTGAGTTTGAAAAGTTGATTTTAAACTTCGAGTTAAAAGTTGGAAATTTAGCAAGTTTTGAGTTTGAAAGGCTAAGTTATTAAGAAAGTGGTTTTCAATGTCTTTTGGAGTTTCCAGTGTCGGAATGAGATTTCGTCGATTCCATCAGTCCCAAAATGTGAAATCTGATCCGTGAGAGTTGTTGGTTTCTGATTCCGAGACTTTTTGAAGATTTGAGGTCCTAAGTTGTGAAATTGTGGAAATTTAGCCTTTGGGTTGACTTTGGTCAACATTCGGGGTAGAGGTTCTCGGATCGGAATTCCGAGAGTTATGTTGGATTCGGGGGATGATTTTAGGCCTAGTTGAGGCCTTGGTTAATTTTTGAGAGGTCCTGAGTGTGTTTTAGCCTTTCTAGGTGCGAGTTAATTTCTTGTGGTTTTCGTGGATGTCAGGTCAAGGAGACCTCATATTCATATTTCGACAGTTCCATTGAGTCTGGAACGTTGAGTACAATTGAATTGCATTTGTGATTTGTGTGTACGAGGTTCCGAACGAATCTTGAGGGTCCTTTTGATGTTTTGAGAGTTGACTGTATTTTGCTAGTGTCTGTAGGCCTTGCTTTTGCAAAGACTGGTCGCTTAAGCGAGCTTCACAAAAGCGAGAGCCTCTTCGCTTAAGCGAGGTTCGCAAAAGTGAAGGAGGCTTCGCTTAAGCGAGACCCGCGTTTTTAGCAGGGTTCGCTTATACGAACCTCGGGTCGCTTTTGCGACATCAGAGTGGAGTTTTGCTGCCATTTTCGGGGTTTAAGCCCCATTTTCACCATTTTTGAAGTTGGAAACCCTTAGTGGTGGATTTTGAAAGGATTTCCAGTTTTAGATCAGTTAGGTAAGTACTCTTGATCCTAAAGCTTCATTTTCTTTTGATTAATTATGAGTTTTAACATCAAAATATGAGGTTTTGATTGGTAAATGATGAGGTTTTTCAAGAACCCAAGTTCTTAGGTAAAATGGATTTTATGAACTGATCCCAAGTCCTATTTCAAAATGATTTCCCCTCATGAATTTCTAAAGCCTTGAGAAATGTTTTCAAGTATTATTTTTTGGATTCAAACTTTAATTTTTGGAATTGGGTATTGTGTTGATTGACCCACCTTTCAAGGGAATGGTTGTGGGTGTTGTTGTGTCCGGAAAGTGATTGTATATACTTGCTTTGTATAGATTGTGTGGTTTCGAAAGTGGAAGACTCGACTCGACTATTGGAGTGATTGTTGATTGATTTAAGACAAGTGGCTTCCTAAACCTTGTATTCTAGTTTGAATTCACATGCTTCCTTTGTTGATTGCATGTTGGGAGTAATGGGAACGAGGTGAAGTGTTTCAATTGTCCACTTGCTATATCTAAATGAATAAAAAGGGGCAGAAATGAAAAAGACTATGTGCTGAACATGATGATATGAATTGTCTTAATGTAACCCTTATTGATTGATTGATGAAATTCTTGAAAGCATGAACGTGGACTTGTATTGTGCAAATTGTTGCCTCTTCTATGTGGTGTGTTATTGCTTGTGTGCTTTGATCATTGAACATAGTGATGAGACTTGTGACGAGTGTTATTATGCCCAGGTATTTACCAGCGAGTGTTATTATACATAGGTCTTTTTATTGGCGAGTGTATCATGCCGAGGTCTTTACTGGAGAGTGTTATTATGCCGAGAGACATACCGGCAAGTGTATTATGTCGAGATCTTTACCGGCGAGTGTTATTATGTCGAGGTCTTTACCGACAAGTGTATTATGCTGAGATCTTTACTAGTGAGTGTTATTATGTCAAGATCTTTATCGTTGAATGTTGTTATTCCAAGGTCTTTACCGACGAGTGTTATTATGCCAAGGTCTTTGTCGGCGAGTGTTAAAAGCCGATGGGAAGTGATCCCGGCTAGTGATAAACTTTTTGACTTGATACACTTGATGCTTATGCGTGCCTTACTTGTCAATTGTAATTTATGTGCTTGTTATGTGTGACTGAGCTACTTGTCATATGAAGAAGAAATCTTGCATCATGCATGGCAAATGGCTATGACACAAAAAATTGAAGCTCTATATGCAAATAATACTTGGGAATTGGTACCCCTGCCCAAGGGTAAGAATGTCATTGGTTGTAAGTGGATACATAAAATCAAGCATAAGGTAGATGGTAGTGTGGAAAGGTTTAAGGCAAGGCTAGTAGTTAAA